CCCGCTTATGCATCATGATCTTTCTTCAGAGAGATGGGTCTCAGTAGTTGCTCCAGAACGCGCCGCGTATTCAACATGGTCCATTGTATTGTGAAAGGATCGATTGCTTTTTTTCAGATTTCATGGTCCCTATTCCATAGCGGCGCGTTAAAATGTACATGACTGCGCTCAACATCTCCTCCTCTCGTGTTCAAATGGAAATCATAGATCATTTTCAGCAGGACAGTTAGCCTATTTGGTGAAATTTTCCAATGTTTGAGCGAAGGTTTTTCCGAAATCTGAGGAGGTAGCGGGGAAATTCTCTTCAAGTTGTAGAGCACTTTGTGTAGAATGATGAATACTTGCTTGTAGACGAGCGCTTCCGCCGTGCTGTGGCTGTGAAAATGCCTCCTCGTCATGCCCTTGTGGAAAGATCAGATTTTTTTGCATTTCCAGATGAAGCTCGCAGAACTGAAATGTGCCCCGTTAGATTCCCCGTGAAAAATGCTATCGAATGATATGCATTACTCCTCCCAGTTGAAACTTTGGTTTTTCACCGTTTTCAGCCTTCCCCTATTGCCGATTGGCACTCACTGTTCCACTGTTACTGCCCCAAAATCTCACAGTTTCATTTTTCGTCGAAACTTTGCCTATTGGGGTAATTCGATGCCCTGATTACGAATATGACATTCATTTTTGATGCTGGTGTCATTTGGCGCCAATTGGCGCCAAAGACGATTTCGCGTTTTTTTCGTTTTTTCGTTATAAATCGGTTTAAAATTAAGATTTTCAAAATCTGAAAACAGCCTTGAACTCAGCTCGTCGAGATCTATAAGAATCCGTCCTAAAGTTTTCTAGCGGCACTACACTGGATTGCGCCATGCACTCAATTTTCATCTCTCAAAAAGTAGTTGCTCGCATGTGTGTGTATCTAATCCCGCTTATGCGAGCTGACCGCCACACAGAAAGAAGGGTCTCAAAACATACCCCAGGATGCGCCACGTACTCAATCTAATCCACTACATTGTGAGATTAGATGAATGTTATTTTCCGAATTCTTAGATTTTCATTTCGTTTTTAAGCGCTTACTGGCTTTACGTGTTCCCTCTGCTCTCAATATCCCATCCTCTGTATTTCAAGTGGAATCTTTGAACAGTTCTCAGCAGGCATAGTGGGCCTATTATGTGACATTTTCCATTTTCAGAGGAGATGTTTTGCAGAAAGCTATGAAGATAGCGAGGAATTATCTTCACCAGCGTAGACTACGGTGACTCTTCTGTAGGAACTGTATGAAAACCTTGGTCGAAGATGAGCGTTCCTTCCGTAGTAAGGCCCCAAACATCACACCTCGCCCCATTTTTTGTGACATGTTCCATGTTTAGAGCACATGTTATGTGGAAAGCTGTGAAGGCAGCGACGAATTTCCTCCACGGCGTAGACTACGGTCACTTTTCTGTAGGAATTACATGGAAACCTTGGTGGCAGGTGAGTCTTCCTTCCGTATGACCCCAAACATCACACCTCGTCATGCCCTTGCGATATGATCAGATTTTTTTGGTTCTCCAGATGAACATAGAAGACTGAGATGTGCACCATTCAATTCCCCATAAAAAATACTGTCGAACGGTATACAACTCACTTTCTGGAGAACATCTAGTTTACCTGCCACTAGATCCATTTTGTGACATTTCCCAATTTTCGAAGGGATGTTTTGAGGAAATTCGAGAAGGGAGGGACGAACTCTCTTCCCTATCGTAGAGTAAGTTTACTTGTATGTTGGAAAAAGATGATACACTCGGGCTTGAGCGAGTGTTTCTTCCCTGGTGTGGCCTCAAACATCGCTCTCCGTCATGCCCTGAAATAAAAACCAGATTTTTTGGTCTTCCAGGTGGCTCTACGGAGCTGTGGTGTACACCATTCGATTCTCCATGCAAAATGCTATCGAACGATATACATCTCAGTTCCCACTTGAAACTTTCGTTTTTCACCGTTTTCGGCCTTTTCCTTATCGCCGATCGCCTTCCTCAGCCCTGGCCACCCACGTGCTATTCACGTGCGCGGTGCGTGGTGACTTTCCCACGGGCCATCGGCTGTCACGTGAGAGCTCACGTGACAGCCGATGGCCTTTCTCGGTAGCTGGCGGGCAGCCCGATCGATACACCGCTATGCGTGTCGAAAGTGCGTGGGAAAGTCACCACGCACCGCGCACGTGAATAGCACGTGGGTGGCCAGGGCTGAGGAAGGCGATCGGCGATAAGGAAAAGGCCGAAAACGGTGAAAAACGAAAGTTTCAAGTGGGAACTGAGATGTATATCGTTCGATAGCATTTTGCATGGAGAATCGAATGGTGTACACCACAGCTCCGTAGAGCCACCTGGAAGACCAAAAAATCTGGTTTTTATTTCAGGGCATGACGGAGAGCGATGTTTGAGGCCACACCAGGGAAGAAACACTCGCTCAAGCCCGAGTGTATCATCTTTTTCCAACATACAAGTAAACTTACTCTACGATAGGGAAGAGAGTTCGTCCCTCCCTTCTCGAATTTCCTCAAAACATCCCTTCGAAAATTGCGAAATGTCACAAAATGGATCTAGTGGCAGGTAAACTAGATGTTCTCCACGAAGTGAGTTGTATACCGTTCGACAGTATTTTTATGGGGAATTGAATGGTGCACATCTCAGTCTTCTATGTTCATCTGGAGAACCAAAAAAATCTGATCATATCGCAAGGGCATGACGAGGTGTGATGTTTGGGGTCACACCACGGAAGGAAGGCTCACCTGCCACCAAGTTTCCATGTAATTCCTACAGAAAGTGACCGTAGTCTACGCCGGTGGAGAAATTCGTCGCTGCCTTCACAGCTTTCCACATAACATGTGCTCTAAACATGGAACATGTCACAAAAAATGGGGCGAGGTGTGATGTTTGGGGCCTTACTACGGAAGGAACGCTCATCTTCGACCAAGGTTTTCATGCAGTTCCTACAGAAGAGTCACCGTAGTCTACGCTGGTGAAGATAATTTCCTCGCTATCTTCACAGCTTTCTGCAAAACATCTCCTCTGAAAATGGAAAATGTCACATAATAGGCCCACTATGCCTGCTGAGAACTGTTCAAAGATTCCACTTGAAATAGAGATGGGATATGAGAGCAGAGGGAACACGTAAAGCGCCTTAAAACGAAATGAAAATCCAAGAATTCGGAAAATAACAGTCATCTAGATTAGATTGAGTACGTGGCGCATCCTGGGGTATGTTTTGAGACCCTTCTTTCTGTGTGGCGGTCAGCTCGCATAAGCGGGATTAGATACACACCACATGCGAGCAACTACTTTTTGAGATGAAAATTGAGTGCATGGCGCAATCCAGTGTAGTGCCGCTAGAAAACTTTAGGACGGATTCTTATAGATCTCGACGAGCTGAGTTCAAGGCTGTTTTCAGATTTTGAAAATCTTAATTTTAAACCGATTTATAACGAAAAAACGAAAAAAACGCGAAATCGTCTTTGGCGCCAATTGGCGCCAAATGACACCAGCATCAAAAATGAATGTCATATTCGTAATCAGGGCATCGAATTACCCCAATAGGCAAAGTTTCGACGAAAAATGAAACTTTGAGATTTTGGGGCAGTAATCGTGGGATAGTGCCCAATCCGGCAATAGGGGAAGGCTGAAAACGGTGAAAAACCAAAGTTTCAACTGGGGAAGTAATGCATATCATTCGATAGCATTTTTCACGGGGAAGCTAACGGGGCACATTTCAGGTCTGCGAGTTCATCTGGAAATGCAAAAAATCTGATCTTTCCACAAGGGCATGACGAGGAGGCATTTTCACAGCCACAGCACGGCGGAAGCGCTCGTCTACAAGCAAGTATGTCATCTTATTTCTACACACAAGTAAGCGTACTCTACAACTGTGAAGAAATTTCCCCGCTACCTCCTCAGATTTCGGAAAAACCTTCGCTCAAACATTGGAAAATTTCACCAAATAGGCTAACTGTCCTGCTGAAAAATGATCTATGATTTCCATTTGAACACGAGAGGAGGAGATGTTGAGCGCAGTCATGTACGTGTTAAGTCATTTAACGCGCCGCTATGGAATAGGGACCATGAAATCTGGAAAAAAGCAATCGATCCATTCACAATACAATGGACGATGTTGAATACGCGGCGCGTTCTGGGGCAACTGCTGAGACCCATCTCTCTGAAGAACGATCATGATGCATAAGCGGGATTATATGCGCACCACATTCAAACAATTTTTTCTCGAGCCAAAGCTCGAGTGCATGGCGCAATCTGAAGTAGGGCTTTTAAAAGTTTAAAAGCATATTCTTATAGAACTCGACGAGCTGAGTTCAACGCTTTTTTCAGATTTTGAAAATCTCAATTTTGAACCGAGTTATAACGAATTCACGAAATTAACGAGGATTCGCGTTATTCGCGTGAATTTTCGATTTCAAACGGCGAGTACTGTACATACATCAATAATGAAGAAATTTATGAACGTTTGAATAATGAGAACGCGCGCTTTTTCGAAAATCGGACCAAATCCCTGAAAAAGCGGAACAACGGGAATATTTCTGAATGGGAGACTTTTCAAGAGCGCTCATGCGCTTTTTGGAAGCTTAAAAAACATTGTTCCTAATTAGTTTCAAAAATTTGCGAAAAACTGATTGTGTAGGAGGTCATTAAAGGACAAATTCATCAATAGAATGAAGGTTGAAGAAGGAGTAATTCACCCCGCTGAGATAAGCCATTATCCGTATGAGGACTCTGTTTGAATTCTACCGTACCCTTTTCGTGGTAGGACCGCACTACTCCATGCGAGATCGATCGGGGCGGCGCGAAATCAATGGTTTCGAAGTGCGAAGTGTTCTGATTTCGTTTTACTTGGTTTTTTCATGAGTGGGATGGTCAATCCGCGCCGGATCTTTCTTCTTTACGGTGATTAGGAATTACTCTCTGCTCTGCACAAACTCTTGCGGGCCCTTTTCAGTGCATTCGACATGCGTTCCTCGTCATTACATGTTTTATACGAATTCACACTGTAACTGTTGTCCTGTCAAGTGATCGTAGTCGTCTGGGAAATCGTTAGAGAAAGACGAAGATCGTTTCAAAACCGCTGCCGGACTACACAGAAGTTCAAAACAGAAGTTCAAAACAATTCGAAGGAACTTTCAGTGACAAACATTCCAGGTATCGCGGAGATTTCAATTTCCCACTACTTTTCTGCATCATTTTCATCCTGACATTTTTTTTGAGCCTAAGCGCTCCAGGTTGATATGATCAAAAAGGATTTTACGGTCGCTCGTTTCAACAATCCGAAGGTCCAAGCATCTGTGCCTGCTCAGACGTTCTCGATCACTGGAGCCGAAGAAAACGAACGTTTGTTTCACCTTATTCTCGAACTATTTTCCTGCTCGGTCAGTTGAATCAGGCGAGTAATAGTTGATTTATTTCAGAGATTACTGATATGCTTTCTGGAATTAATCAATTTGTGCCAGAGTCGTTCACTCATCGTAAGAAATTGGCCAATATTTTTACAGTCAATTCAAGCAATGGGAAAAAAGTTTCAGTGCAGAAGCAGGTAAGTTGTATAATCGAACTACTATATGCTCAAAGGTCATACCAGTTGTTTAGTGTCTTTATTTCTTAAAGTTGACTGTCGCCTACACCCTGAAATTCTACACCCTGAAATTCATAACAGTAAGTCAAAGCCATATGCGGTGAATTTAATGCTAATTGAAGGGTTCAACCATGCAATTAGTGACGTTTAAACGTAATTTTGTCCAAGACGGTTGAGTCATAAAGCGAACCGTAATCGAAACAACAGAGCCTATAATCTGATCTTTGCTGGTGTTGCAACTACTTGGACAAGGTCAATCATGCTTCTACATGCCTACGATTCTGTATATATCGCTTATAAGGCGTACCTCGATTCCAAGCGCTTGTTATTCTGTTATGAATAACGGGAGAGAGCGATCAAAATCGTCCAAGTCCTTTTTCTACGTGTACGGCAGAGGATTTACGTTTCTAAAATCCATTGAAAATTGTGAAAGATTTCTTAGCTGGAGCAGGAAATACGTTGACATCGGGACATTAATGAACAGCTAAATTCCACTATGTATCTACGCAGAGAATTCATGTGGTTTAAATAAGCGATTATCTTTTGCTTTCTTCTTTCGTTCCGCTAAACTTACTCCTAACCACACTTGAAGCTAACCATCTTCCAACAACGCCGAAGGAAGCGCTGGATGTTGAAGGAATGAGAATGGAGCATAGTCACGAAACGAACGACTTTCAAAAAGTGGGCAAAAAAAAACTCGTATTGAATTTTTTCAGGGTGTAGGTTTAGGCGACAGTTTTAAGTTGTTGCAGTATCTATGTATATTACTGTTACTTTTGTTCTTTGTTTGTTGGGCTGGGGTCAGAGCTCGTGATCCGTCGCAGGTTGCAAGAGTCGCAAGTGCCCGTTCGAGACTGCAAGGTGCTCTCGAATCCCGCCGCTTTGATGGTGATGGTTCAATGGCAATGTTCATGATTCCTTTGTTTTATAATTAGTGTTCAAATGTTCAGATGTGGCACTTGAGATTTTTGCGAATCACCCGCCGGATCGCGGATGCTGACACCAGCCTAAGGTTTTGCTCGTACTGATCAGTTGCCAAATGTTGTCTTTCACCGTGAAAAGGGGACGAAGACCCCTACAAATTGTTATTGTTTTTTTTAAATCAGAATCACATCAACAAAAGGCCATTTACAATATACTGTGAAAGTAAGCGTGCACTGTAAGTTACCTGAGGCCGAATTAATCCTTCCCCCCAGGGCGACACGTCTCCCTCTTCTGATCCAATCGTCCCCTTGTTTATTTATTAGGTTGGTTAACACACTGACGACATTGAGACGCTTTAACCGCGTCTCACTTTGCGCACCTCGTTGGATTTGAGACGCGGTTACCGCGTCTCACCCTTATCATCCCTTTTTCTAGCGTATGCGGGGATTCTTCCCAATTGTTCTTTATCTATTCTATGGATACAACATAAAAACTGTAAACAACATGGTCACGGTCTGATCAAATATGCTCCAGTTTAGCAGAAGTTTTCTAAGCACAGTGGAATTGGCAGCTTGTTCGTTCCTCGTTTTCTTCCATTTCATGAAGAAGTCAGTGAGAACTGGTAGTGAAAGTAAATACAAACTTAAGGAAATAGAAGAAATGCATGTTTCACCAAGCAGAGCCACATCAAAACAACCACAACTTTTGGCATCCACTACAGAGAAAAGTACTTAAATTTCCATTTTCTTTACCATTTCACGTTTTTTGATCGGAATTTCGCTAATATATGATCGATTACTTTCTACGCACTGAATATTGCTGAAATGGTATCGTACCTTTGTCGCTCCTCAAAGTTATCATTCGACATTTGAAGTGTGACGGCTGCGCTCGCCAAAGTGTCGCTGTCCCACGCGGTGCAAAAACCTAAAAGACTCGATGTCGTCAACGTGTGAAAAAGGCATATGCCGTTTTGAGCCCCAAACTTTGAAACACCACAACTTTGCTGAAACACTTGTTTCTCATTTTAGATGAAAATCATTATGTTCACCATATCGTTGTCAATAATATCCATGCTAATGTCTACCCTTCCAGTAGAAATTCATATTATAGCAAGTTTTAAGGTGTAGGGACGCGATTTTGACATGTCCCAATTCTGAACGCGATTTCTCCACTGAATTGATTACAGTTGGAGCGTTCCTTTCCGGTAAGGATCGCGCTGTTCTAGCTGCCTGGGAAAAGAAACACAGAGGGTGTGGCGGTCCTAAGAGGCAACCCTTCTCTGTCTATTGCCAAAACTGGGGCAGGATTGAAAAGGGGGCAGGACGCGTGTCCTTGGGGGAAGGATTGAGTACGGCCAATGGAAACGTAGAACTGGATGTGACAAAATTTGCCAGTAGTTGATCGATATCACAACAAACATTCTGGTAAGCTGCAAGCAATTCATAAGCGTTTACAATCAAATCAGAATTATTTTCTTGGGTCGTAAAAGGTAAAATCTTGTGGCTTGGCGTGATTGCCCAAACCCTGCGCTACCATTTTTTTCAGAGTCAGTGTATTGAACGCAAAATGTCTAGTGAGCCACCACCACTGAAGCAATATCAAAAGGAGCAATGTTCTTTATGCAGAAAGCTGTTCACTGTTTACCGTCTTCTCGCGCACCTGAGAACTTCGCATGGCGAACGAGGAAGATTGCTAGCACAGAAAATTAGTGGAAAAATGGTCCCATGTCCATTCAGCCCGTGCTCGTATAGAGGTGTGAACGAAAAGGCTCTGCAAAAGCACATATCTCGATTTCACGTTGAAAAGGGAGATGATGGTCGAGCTTATCCGTCCGAGAAAATCTCGTCATGGTGCTGTCCGTTGTGTGACACCGCTGTGGACGGTCAAGAGGGTTTAAATCTCCATTGCGCTGGAGCTCATGGTGGGAACTACGAACCACAGCTGAAAACTTTCGCTTCCGTCTCCGAATTCGAGGTAACATGCAATCCGGCATCACCAAGATTACATTGAGCTCAGAAACGCGAGTGTTTCAGGTCCCAGTTGGGGCACAAGGTGTGGATTTTTTCCTGTGAGGTCGTTCTTTCTGCAGTTAGTAACTCTCGTCCTTGAGCTCATGCGATTTTTTGGGACCAGTATTCGTGGACCTATTCGTAGTTGATTACAGGTTTGGAAGGCAAACATCGAATACGCTCATGTTATAAAATGGCGGATTAATGGCATATCGAAAGAAAAAGCACACACAAAAAATATTATGTTTGCCACAGGTATTTACTTGGTGGTTCCTTATGTGTACAGAAATGCGACGCAATTTCCGATATGTAACAGGTCCGGCGTGATAAGAAGGGAAGGAACAGGGAAGAGACAACCGCGTAAATCTAGAATTTCAACAAGACACTGTACATCGTTCCTGAAGGTAGAAATGCGTCTGGGTTTATATTATATTGAGCATACAAAATTATTTAGGTCCAACTCTTCCTAAACGGTTCAGTAAGTGCCTGCTATTGCACGGAACATGTGGGTCACACCGTATCTGCTTCCTCACTCCCGCTGTCTCAAAGCGACAAAGAACTAATCGGCCACCATCTGAAATTAGGACTGAATATTCCGACAATTGTTAACATTGTAAGAAAACAACACTGCGACCCTGGCCGTCGGCTTTATTGGATATGTGCTGCAGATATCAGGAACGTTCAAGAATCCCTCCATCTGTTGCCGGGAAGGCTTCACAAGGATGATGTGGAGTCTGTCAGACTCAGGTTCAATTTGAATGTAACCAGCGATGGCATGCGTCTTCTACGTCTACAGCTGAAACGGACCACAATTTCCGTCTTGTCATTATTACGCCGGAACAAGTGGGAAATAT